ATATGTATAGTTCTGGTTGCCATGTTTAAAAAAGGATATAATAAAGTGGGAAAAAGTACAGGTGAAGGCAATCAGAATGATCAGGGGGCTTGAATGCCTTTCTTACAAGAGCCCCCTTATATTTGATACTTCTGAGCTTAGAAAACAGCAGCTGAAGGGAACAGCATATAGAATCATTCAGCACGGAGAAAGAGGTCAGGGAGAAGCTCCTGCTTCTCAAAACACTACCACCAGAGCTTATCAAAGGAATAAAATAGCTTTGTGCCATGACCGGAGTGCTGTAAAGTAGTTTTCAGAAGAATCTCTGTTCCTTAGGGAGCCTCATACAATTTTATAACAATTCCTTTGCTGCCATCTGGTGGCCTCTGAGAGAAATCGTCCTAGGTAGTTGGGGTCCTCAACACAGTGATGTAGACATCAATGAATCCATAATTATGCTCCTTGTTACCTTCCGGGTTTTCTCAACTTCTGAACTCATTATATTTTTCCACTTTAAGAAAGCAATTCAAAGAATTTCTTTTTTCACACCTTGATGGTAGGAGGCAAGCTGCTCAGAAAAGTTACCATAATGCTGCCTCCTACCCACCAAGATTTTGAAGGAAACTGAACAGAAATTATGAAAACTGGAGGCTTCATCCTTGGACCTATGAAAATACTGAGACAAAGGAAAAATAAGCCATCACCTGTAGGGAAGCAGAGGTTGCATATCTCTTGCATAAGACTGAAGTTTCCAGCACTGTAACTGCGGATCACGGCTCCTAAGGTAGCTTTCACAGTTTCTTCCCAGGAAGACATCTGAAGGCTAAGAAGTGCTAGTGTCAACTCATGAGAAATGTGGAACAACAGCTAGAAAAAAAAAGAAAATACAGAAAGATTTTACATATCTCAATTCATGGGGGGTGGGGGGAACAGCAAAAACCTAAGGACAGTTATCAGCTGGCATCCACTACAACAATCCACTGTCTATATTGTCATTTTTAGCCAAGGTCATCCCAGGAACTAACAAACTATGCTTTGACCTTATTTTTACACCAATAATGTTTGGTACATCAATGTACCAAAGCTTAAGGTACATTTCATGGATCTTATTTTGCTGGAAACTGGAATTTGTCACAATGTCTTCTTCCCCTCCATGCTTTTATTACACAAGTTCCTTCCTTTTCAATCAAATGTGATGTACATAACTTTTTATGAACATACAATAAAGAAATTAGATAGGTACATGTCTACCCAGAGGTAACTCCCACTGAGAGTTGTATGACTTAACTCTGCATATTACTCATAGTTTTATTCTTCCTATGCTTTGAATTATTCAAAGTGTTAAATAGTTTGAATAACCAAAGCTTTAAAGGAAGCCCAGATCTCATACTCAATTATAGGATCAGAATACAGATCAGTGCTAGGAAACAACAGAAAGCGTATTGTGATACAGTTGCTTTATGGAGTGTAGAACTTTGTGCCCTCTAAATGTTCCAGGCTTCAGCTCTCATCATCTTTAGCCACCATGACTGATGACAAGTGGAGTTCTGACCAAAGTCTTTGGAGAATACTAAGTACAGAAATGCATCACTTTTGATGTGTAACAGAATTGTGTAGCACTTTGTTTTTAACAAGATGCTTTGGAGTGTGCATGTAGAACCTGTCTTTAATACAGCTTGTCTTTTCCTAAGATCTGCTTCTGCAGCTGCCATGTATTCCCAGGAAAAGACACAACTATTTTAAAGAGTTGCAGACAGGTGCTACACTCATGCTCTTGTGAATTCCAAGCACCTTTTTGGAATCAAAACTGAAATGCTGCATAGTTCTAATGTGCAATTTGTTACAAAGGGAGCTTGAGTGAGACATCTAAGTTAAATGAGTTTGTGTCAGGGACCTGAAGAAAAGACTTGTGAGGATAGGCTGAAGGAACCTGCGATGTTCAGTAAGAAGAAAAGACAATGTAAGGGAGGCATGTTAGCTGTGTTCAGGTACATATAAGGAAAGCTATAGGGAAGATGTTTAAGTTTTTTCCATGACCACAGAAACTCGGACCAGAAATGGTAAGTTGTAACTACTTAGATTTAATTTAAATATAAACAAAAACTTCCCAGTGATAAGACCTGTTCAATAATTGGAATAATCTACCTATAAATGTTGTGGGTTCTCTATCTCTGAAGGTTTTTAAAAAAACAGTCTTGACAGTCACCTCTTATGGATGGTTTAGCTGGTTTTTCTGTACATTGCAGAAGGCTGAACTAGATCCTTTGCGGTCCTGCTCAAATTTATAATTCTATGATTCTAGACTCACTTTGAACTTGTCAGGAACTGTTGTGAATCCAACACAATTACTATATGGTTCCCTCCTTGTAAATCACCATTTGAAAATTATGCTCACAAAGCCCATAAACAAATTACCTGCTTGGGAGGAGTATTGCTAGTAGCAGGAGGGTACTCAAGAGTTCTCAGCTGCTCAAATATGTTCTGGAACTGTTCAGTAGTGTTCACACCAAACACACTCTGCCACACATTGATCACCATTTCTATGAAACAGCCATCTTGCTTTGTTGTCCAGCTGTTGTAGCAAGGTGTGGATGGGCCTCGAGTTCCCACTGGATTCTGTTCACTAAGGCACTTGTGAAGCAATTCGTTAAGACAGAATACCAACCTCTGCCCCTTTAAGTAAAAAAAAAAAGTTTTAAAGGGAAGCCAACTCAGCTTGAGAAAACATTTCTCTTAAAATTTGATAAAAATATAATCCATGTGTGGATATGGTTGAAAATATGCATAAAATTTATTTATTTATTTATTTGCCACCCATCTCCCCCAGAGGGTGACTCTGGGCGGCTCACAAGATTATAAATAAAATAAAAAGCTAAAGAATAATTCACTCTAGAAGCATGAAAGATACTGATCAGCAAACTCTTGTTGCAACAGAAACTAGATGGATTGATAGAAATCTGATTTATACCAAACAAAAAAGGCTAATCTATTAAACAAGCATTCATGTAGTGACAATATGTAATATTCAGTAATATGACTGAAATATTTGTGTTAACTCAAGCTTTTACACATTTAGGCTCATTATCCAAACCTTTAACCCAAGCCTCTTTGGTCTAATGGTTAAGGCACCAAGTCAGAAACCAGGAGATGGTGAGTTCTAGTCCCACTTTAGGCATGAAAGCTGGCTGGGTGACTTTGGGCCAGTCCCTCTCTCTCTCAGCCCAACTCACCTCACAGGGTGGTTGTTGTGGGAAAATAGGAAGAGAAAGGAATATTAGGTATGTTTGCCACCTTGAATTATTTATAATCATAACAAAGGCGGGATAAAAAAAATCTTTAAAAAAAAGTCAGCCTATTTGCAGAATTACATGTTCACTGTTTTATGGCTGGCAAACAGCATAAATGTCAAGATTTGTACTATCTTTAATTCAGTGTATGACCGTTTCATGTCAGCTATGTCTGGCCTCAAACATATGAAAGCTAGCCTTTCCTATAGTAAAACAGGCATTAAGTCAGCATGTTGGTTAGAAGCTCAGAGATTCTATTATAAGAGATTATGAATTAGATTCTTATATATAAGCTATCTACAGATATTAATTTAAACTGGACTAATCCCTAAAGGATATAACATAAACCATTTTTTTTTAAATCACTAGTTTCTATCTTCCTTAAGAAGGAATGATCACTTAGGCCTTTTTTCAGAAAACATTCATTTAGAACTGGGCAAATGACATATATTGGGTAACTCTGCCATAGTAGTGAATATTAGATATTATTGCTTGTAACAATAGTATAATATATACATAATAATGCTCACTGACCAACAGGCTCTCATGTTGCTGGAGAACCTCTTGTGCCCCAACCCAATTCTTAGATGAAAGAAGCTCCTGGGCACATCTCAAGGAGAAGGTCAGAGACAAATCTTTCTCTCCAACTACCAGAGCCAGTTCTGCAGCAGTTTTAAGTGATGTAGTATCTCCTTTTTTAGCCAGTACTTTGGCAGCATCATAGGGAGAGGCAGCTCCAAGGTAACTGAAATGAAACCATTCATACAAAGTATCAAACTTTAATTTGGATCAAATTCTCAATTTAACTACTAGGCATATTTATTTAATGCATTTACAGTTGTGCTCGTAGGTTTACATACCCATTACAGAATTTGTAAGATGTGGACCATTTTGTAAATAAACATGAGTGTTCAGAAAAAACATACTTTTTAAAATGTGTAATGTGATTCAAATTAAACTATTAGGCATCATAGAATAGCACAATCATTAAACAAACCATAGCAATAAAGGAAATAATGAACTGGTCCTGTTCAAAAGTCTGCATACTCTTGAATGTTTGGGCTGATGATACAGTATACATTCAAGCTGACATATACAGGTTGAGCTGACATAGCAATGAAAGGTAAGTATCCACACCTGTGTCTTGTTTGATTGTAATTAGTGACTGTGCATAAACAGTCAATGAGTGTCTTGGCTCTTGAGAAACCCTTGTGCATTTCATCCAGGGCTGTATTGACTTTGCTGGTTATTGAAGCATGGGGAATGCAAAAGAAGTGTCAAAGGATCTATAAGCAAAAGTAGCTCAACTTTATAGATCAGGAAAAGAATATAAAAAATATCCACAGATTTGAAAATGCCAATCAGTACTGTTCAAACTCTGATCAAGAACTGCAAAATTAGGAGTTCGGTTAATACCAAGCCATGGTGAGGCAGACCAAGAAAGATGTCAGACACAATTGCCAGGAAAATTTGTTGGGATGCGAAGTAAAACACACAAGCAACTTCTACTGAAATACATGCTTCTCTGAAACAAAGTGGTGTGGCTGTTTCGGCATGCACAATAAGGAGATACTTGAACAAAAATGAATAAAACAATTTGGAGCAATGAGTCAGTTTATTATTATAGTCACAGACCAGTACAACTAAAAATGCACATAACATGTCTAACTAAAAATTCTTAGATATAATAATAAGTAAAATCTATATCATAATCATAATTTGGCTGCCTAAATGTCATTTACACATGAAGTCAAGTGGCCTATACTGTAGTGTAATTATTACTCCTTAAATTATGATATCCTACAGTTATTGTTAACTATAATAAAGGTAATGATAAAATGATAATATCTAAAATTGAAGTGAGTTGGTTATATAAAACTATTTACAATAAGATATTCGTCAGATTCCAACGAATCTTTAATGCTGCTGCGCAGAATCTAGCTACCTGTGCTGTGACTGTGGTCTGTTCGTCTTTGAGCAGGATCTGTAGATAGTCGGAATCAGAGCAGCCGGGATACCTATTAATCATCGGATGAATAAATTTTGTTCGAATGTCTCTATAGAATGAACATCAAAGAAGGACGCGGCCAGTGGTTTCTACCTCTCCAGAAGCACAGGGACGGAGCCTTTCGGCCAATGGTATCTTTTTGTATTTGCTATCCAGAACAGCTAAGAGGAGCACGTGGCATCATGCAAGTGAAAAGGCTTTCCGATGGTCTCTAACTGGCTAAGATATCTGGCAGGGTTGACAATGTATTTGGTATAGTCTGGAGAGAGGAATGATGGAACCTTCTCTAAGTCTGTTGGTCTCTCTATGTCCCCTTAATCTCAAATTTTGTTTTGCTTGTTCATAGTCCAATTCAAGTATTGAGGAAGGTGAAAAACCTAGTTTTGCAAGGTTT